GCTCACGGCAACTGCGGGGCTTAGCGTGCGAAGTATTTAACGCTGAATTTTTGGGTCATTGCTTCTAAGAAGTGGATGGGAAAGGGTTAATTTACAGCACTGTGCATCGTTGTTACAGGGGCCTGAAAAACAAATGCTTTAGTGTTTGGGACAAATATTAATGCCAAAGTCTTCCACTTTCCTGATTTAATGTACATCTGTCATGTTTGGCTTCTGTAGGACTTGCAGGGAAAGTGGCACAATATCCTCTTCCAGCCTAGGTTTTTTTAATATAACTTCATAGAATGGTTTGGATTGGAAGGGACCTTAAAGATCATCTAGTTCCAACCCCCCTGCCATCAGCAGGGACACCTTCCACTAGACCAGGTTGCTCAAAGCCTCATCCAGCCTGGCCTTGAACACTTCCAGGGAGGAGCAGCCACAGCTTCTCTGGGCAACCTGGGCCAGTGTCTGACCACCCTCACAGTGAATTTCCAGACAATATCCTGCTGGTGATGTTTCCTAATAAAGGATGAGATGGGCATTGGTCATATATGGCAATGCTACTTCCATATGTATTAAAAAAATATATATATGGAAGAAAGAAGAATCTAACACTATATAAACAAGTTATATTGTGAGACAGGATTTTATTCATTATCTGACAGTTAGATGTTTCCTTTTCAAATTCAGTAGCATTTTTTCATTAGTCCTTCTCTGTTGGTTTGCCAGTTGGTAATATCTATATGGATTTATGTCTGTCTTACTCCCATTTTGTATCAAAGGATCAAGGATATCTTTGGGGTTTTATTAAATCCCTAATCATAATTTGCATTCTGTGGTTTTTGTGCATTGTTTGCTGTAAACTTAAGAGTGATCTTTGTGATCAGATCAGTGCTTCAAAGTTTCACATTAAAATGCCATCAAAGGCTCATATAACTGTAAATGCCAGATTGTTTTACCAGAAATAGTTATTACTTTATTACAGTAACAGATGTATGTCCATGTGATGTGTCTTGGTGATTTATTTCTTCATTTTGCTGTTGATGTAGTTGGTAGATCTCAAAGCAGAACTCTTCCGAAAGCAAGAACAATTCAAGAAAGAAAAGCTATTGAAAGATGCCGGTGTCTTTGCAAGGCCCAAAACTTCTAATAAGGTAGAAATCTTTTTCCATTGGTGTTTTTGTCGTTCTTTCCCTTTAAAGTAAGGAAGTTCAGGTTCAAATCTAAATAAATAAATACTCAGATCTGTGCTGCTGTTCAAAAAATGTAAAATCTACGTGATGAGGATGTTCTTTAAATTTCTATCAACTCATTTCCAGGTGAGATTCTTGTGCACAGCAGAAAACTTACCTCATGCTCATGCCCATCTAAATCATCTCTTAATCTTCATTCCCCAAGGAGCCACAGCTTTTGTAGCTATAGGAAAAGATGCTTCTTTTTTTCCTCCAAGATTTTGTAAGGCTCCTGAAGGAGGGAGGATGAGAGACTCTGCCAGGATCACTGAGCTTGCTTGATAAATGCTCTGCGATCTGTTCCTCTGTATCACGGTGTGTAACAACGAACACACAATTATCTCTCATGTTTTACTCTTTACTGCACATTGGTTTTTATTCAGTCTGTACTTTTCTAGTACTAGAATACAGTATTGCTGCCCTATTTGAAGAACATGCAGCAGTTACAGTGTTATGCTGTGAACAGGAAAACTGATTGCATTTTATATCTGAAATGAAGGTAATGGAGAAGAGAAACAATTCATGCCTTTGTTATTACTTTAACAATCAGCAGGATTGCTCTTATTCATTTTTTTCTACCTTAACATCTTTGCCAGAATAGATTTTGTCAGATTTCTGAGTTCCTCTCTTTTTTTTTTTTGCTTCTCAGCCTGTTGTTAATGATCATATTGTACTGCAGTCTGTGTAATTTTAGGACATACCTGCTGCATCCTACAGCACAGTAGGTACAGTCTCGAGTCAAACATGTTTAAGATGTTATTTACAGGGTCTTTCACTATTGGTTTGCAAAGTGTGCATTATGGAGTTGAAATACTTTTTAATCACTGTAAATGCAATATTTTTATGTATTTCTTTATTTGTTATAAAATTGTACTCCACAGAAACCAAGCATCTGGACCAAACAAAACACAGGAGTTGCAAATCGAGCTGAGAAAGACATTGAGCAAATGACAGAAGAGGAGGATATGTTGGATAAATCAAGGTAATTCTTTGGCTCTGTAAGAAAGGAATGCTTTGCAGAACTTGTTTTTCAGTGTTTAGAAAAGCACATGAAGCAAGTTATGCACATTTTGGACCAGCAGTTCCCATTAGACCAACCAGTAAGACCAGCATCAGTTCCATGCTCTTCACCAGTAATGTACAGACTGCATCCCAGCAGTCTCATGCTCTAGGGATACCTGCCCTCGCGTGGTCAGAGCTGTCTAAATAGGTCAGGTTCCTGATTTTTGAAAGTCATCTCTAGAATTAAAAGCCAGGGCAGTGATACATTAGAATTCTCTGGCGAATTGCTTCTTGGACTTGGCAGAAAATGGCTCACTTTTCTGCAAGATCTACCTCTAAATGGGGTAGTTGTGCATAAAGATAGATGTTGAAGATTCAGTTTCTAAGCCATTTGCTGCTTTTCTGTAAGCAGTTCCTTGCTCTTCAAAACTGTCTTCTACCATTCCAGAAATTAGCTGAGGTTTTCTCTTCAGTTTCTAAAATTAAGTGTAACTCCATGTTATCTCTTTCTTTTTTTTTTCTTTTTTTTAATGTAAAACAGTATTTTAGTGTCTCATACCTGCAAAAGGTGGTCAGGCTTCCACTATGTATCTGACTGACCACAGTAGTTAGACAGAGGTCGAATATTTGTTACGCCATGTTCCTGCCTACTTGACAAATTACACTTAAGGTTAATTCTGTAACTTCACTAAAATTATTTTCAGTATAAACTGTGGAACTGGATATCTGTGTATCTTCAGAAAAGTCAGTTAAGGTTCAAAACAAAAACCAGGCATAACTCAGCTTCTAGGAAGCATTTCCAGCACTCCTGGTATTTTTCTCTTCCATTTATCTAAGGTGAAATTGGTCATTTTGAACTGTGTTGGGAATTCATGGGATTGCAAAATTGTTTTTTGTTTTCCCTTTTCAGGAAGAAACTGGAAGAGAAAGCAAAGCTGTATGAGAAAATGACAAAAGGCGACTTTCCAGGTGAACAAAACTAGTCTAAATTAGTAATTTATATATATTTTATATAGAGAGAGATAGATACAAAATTGTTGGCAAAGCTCACCCTAAAAGTTGGTATTTCTGACTGTCTGGTGACTTACAGCAGCTACACTATGAATTCACTGCTTGTCTTTTTACATGGGCAGTTTTTTTTGGCGTTATACAAAGTGGTTGACATGGGTTATCCTGCTTTGGAAGGGAGAAGAATACAGGTACTAGAGAAAATAAAATTACTTTTTGAAGGACAGCCTGTCCTAGTAAAGCACTGTAGGCTTGTTTCACCCGCTTGTTCATTAAGTGGGTGGAATATATTCTGTTATTTCAATACAGAACCTTAGAAAAACAAAATGAATTTATTCTCCACTGTGCAGTCTTTGGGTTGCATTGCTGATGTTCTGTCCTGCATTCTAATTCTTGGACCATTATGAAAAGTAGAGGAGCAGGAGGGGAGTCTGGCTGGTCCATACATGAATGCCAGTCATGCAGCTAATAGGGTTGGAGAATCCTAATCTGTCCCTTTCTTCTCTCACTCATTTGGTCCCTTGCAAGAAGTAATTAATAAAGTAGAATACAAATTTCCTTGCAATTAATCTTTAATGTTTTCTTTAGTATTGTCCATCTTTGTCCATATGACCCCACCACTTCTCAGCTTTTCTAAAAAGTACCAGTGCTTAGCTACTGCCAACGCACCAAATGTTAAGCATCAAAAAAGTATTTGAACTGTTACATAACAAACCCTGTGCTTCTGAAACAGTTAATGAGCGGAGAATATTTGAGTGCAAAGACTGCAACCTTTTCTGTATCGTACACAAACGATTAATTGCTTTAAAATACCCTAAAACTTCTGTTCAGAAATAGAGGTTATCATTGTGGAGCCATTTTCTACCTCTGAGTTTGTTTGGCACTGAATGATAGTTGAGTATTCCCCAATAGTGTGGTCAAGGACATTGATGGCAGCTGAAAAGCTGATTGTGACTATTTTGTATTGATTTTGTGCTCAGTTCTGTTCTTTTCATGGCTGTTCTCTAAGAATCAATTTTCTGCCTTAGATGAAGAAACTGAGGATTTGTACCTAGTGGATTTCACTCAGAAGATCATAGACAAACAGCACGAAGTACAGGAGCTGCATCAGAGCGAGGCTGCTAGAAAGACTTTAGAAAAAGAAACAGATGATGAGGAAACTCAACCTGAAATGGAAATACCACCTCCTGAGGACCCAGACGAAGAATGGTTGGTACTACTGATTGGGCTAAGCTCTTCTGACCAGTCTGTTTCTTGACAATTGCATGAGAAAATAATTTTAATCTCCAAAGTATGTGGAGTGGCACCC